TTGAATTCACATATTTTATGATGAATATTTTTGTTTAATTATAGTAGTGTTCGACTGATATATCTCCAAGGCCGCTATATCAGCCCATATTTGGCTTTTTTTTTTTTTATTATCGGCATTGGCCAATACTTTTTTTTTTCTCTTTGGCCAATCTGTTGGACTTTTATTTTGATGGTCAATGCCTGATTTTTTTTTTTGCTTTTTTTTTTTCATTGCAAGAGAAATACTGTAGTTGTTGAAAAATGGTGTAGGCTAAATGTTTTTCAAAATGCACGAAACCAACATGAATTTTAATTGATGTTTTATGATTTTGTGAATTTTATGATTTTAAAAAGCGTTTTCCTTTTTAAAGATTTTATTTTGACCCTTATGCTGGACATGATGTGTAGCTAAGTTTGTCATTTTGTATGTTTTGTCTTCACTCTTCTGTTGTTTTTAGCCTGCAGTACATCTTGGGAGAGCAGACCTGGATTGAATACTGGCCTACAAGAGCGGAAAGCCAAACTCCAGAACACAGGCAGCGATACATCGGTATCTCTGACCTCCAGAACAGCCTTCTCAAAGAAGGATGTGCTACATAATCATATAACCAAAATAAATGTCACCTCTTGCATGAATTTTCATAGTGTTGTTTTATCCAAAATACTGCTGTAATTATATATCTATACTGACTGAATAAAAAAGTGTTCATTTTCATTTTGGAGTGCCTGGCAAAATCATTCATTATTTTCTTGCCTTTCTGAATTACAAATCCAACATTATATTTTTTCTGCAATACTTTTGAAACTGTATCTCTGTTTAATAATCATAAAATACATTGCAGATGTAAAATGATGTAAAAACATAATGTCTTTAAAACTAAAGGAGTGTACAACATTGGCAAAATCAAATACATGAGAACCTAGGTCAGACCAAAATTGCTTGGATATAGGGCAATCAAAATGTGTTTCCTTTGCCTTATTGGAAATACAATATTTCCCAGGTAAAAGCCAGGTTCTTTTCCAGTCTGTATCATCAAACAAGGACCTCTAGTAGTACCTTCCTCTTGAAGAAATGTTCCTTTTAAAATGAACAAGTTGGCGCACATGCCTACTGTTACATTTCTTATCTAACAGATCAGTACCTTCCAAGAGTAAAACAGATGGTGTAGTAGCTGTACTCCTTGGATTAAAAATAGAGTGACTTTTAACAAGGTGAATTAACCCATGTGAAATTGCTTTAACCACCATGTTAAACTCTTTTGGAGGAATCGGTAAACTATGGTATGTCATAAATTGCTCATAAGACAGAATATTTCCTGAGTCATCAAATAAGCAAAGCACACAATATTATTTTGAAATCATCTGGGGGAAAATAATGATGTATTTCTGACAGTAATATCCCTGTTATTCCATAAAAATATTCTATGGGGTGAAAAACTGTGAACATAGCATTATTGTTTATATAGCGAACAAGCTTCCAAGCGACGAGACGCTGCTAATGAAATTTGAACAAAGCTATAGCTTAGAGGGTAGATAGTTACATTTCAAAATAAAGGAAAGACTACCAATTATGTCAAAAATATGGTTGGGGATAAAATACCAAATGGACTTTAGGTTAGCTAGACATATATTAAGCCAA